GCGAATCGGTAAACTGTGCCAGTTGCGGATTAGTTCAGACCACACACACACACACACACACACACACACACACACACACACACACACAAAATCTAGGCAAACAAATGTGAAACTAAAGCGGCAATCGTTTGAGGTGTAAAATGGGAATTGTCAATTGGAAATGCGAATTCAGAGCAAAAGCATTATCAATTAGCAGAGCTGGTGAAAACGTTGNACATGCCCCCAAATCTCTCGCTGGACGAGATCACAGATCACGAAATATGTCCATTGATTAAGAGTTAACATTATGTTCACCTATATTGTGTTCTTATCTAACAGAATCAAGCAGTTCACGAATATGAAGGTTCCAATTCTGAGTTCCAAGATGATTGTAGGGATAAATCAAAAGAGCTGGAAAAAATCAGAATAAAGTTAAACCAATCACTTTAAAAGTGGATGTGCTTCTGAACATAAAGTAGCTGAAGCATATCGCACTAATATACCGAGTCTTAAAGACTCAGAGAAACCGCAACCGTACTGTGGAGGCGATGACAAAACTGATGGTTGGTCATCATGGTACCTTAGAAGATGGGATTTATAACGACTGCAGACAGCTATCACCTATGATACACACTATCATACATGTACCTCACGATGGTGGGATGGAGGTAACTCCAGTGAAACAAGAATATTACAGTGCAGTGTATGGGGAAATAACCCCACCTGACGCGAATAAGGAAGCATTAAAGTTGTTCCCGAATTGGAAATTGTTCCACAAAAGCGTTGAATGATCTACACCTTACTTTTTTACAAAGCAATAATTACAATCAACGGAAACGCAAGGATTTTCGTAAAATCCTTCCTAGGCTGCACAAAAGTCGCACCGGAGTCATTAAGTACTGGTCCCCACAAATCGAGTTTTATACGATGGCATCAGATAGAACACTGCTCCGTGGACGCCGAAGATAAAAAATGGACGTATGTCAAAAGTCGGTTCTTCAGGAAATTCTCTCGATATATTTTCTCTAGTCCTCTGGACACGAATCACATTTGGGAAGGGAATCACAGGCGTTTTATATATAACCCTGAACCAATCAGATTGTTCAGGCGTCCAAATTTAAAGTCTTAAACGAACCAATCATAAAAACACAATTGATGCAATAAAATGCAATAAAATGCAATAAAACAAACGATCAATTCAAACAACACTTTCCAACACAATGTGTCACAAAATAACGTTCTCACTTATTCCATTCAATGAATCTCTCGAAGTGCATCTATATTTTACTTGAATCTAGGCCATTCCACCACATGTAGGTCGATTTCTTGGATAAATAGCGTTGGACGTATGTTATAAGGTGGTATCCTCGGTAGCACCTCAAGCGTCCGCTTCGAAGATACCTTCTAGAGCCACATATGGTGAAAATTTGCCAAGTCCCAAGAGATCATTACTGTTCTTCCGCAGCCAATTTCTCAGTAGATCAACGCCCGTGTATTCACAGCTAACCATTTAAGTTACCTTTGTCCCAAACATGGTTGTGTAGACTTTTAGTGTCTTAAGGCCTCTGAGTTACGAGAAGATCAACACTTACCCATTCAGCCTTGATGCATGTTGGCAGGAATGTCTAAGCTGTAAAATTTAAGCTTTAAAAAATCTTCATAAGTGGGAAATGATAGCCAGGTACTCACAAGTTAATTTGGTCCAATTCAAACAGCTCACATTTTCATGGTCAAACAGAAAAAAAAACATTGCATTCCGAGATACTCAGTTCCCGCATTTACTGTTCACAATCACTTTACATATGCTAACAGAACCGGTCACTGGTTAGGGTTGCCCCAATATGACGGATAATCAGCAGGTCTGCACATGTGGACGTGTGTGTGTGTGTATGTCCGTATTACCCTAGTGATAACTGTTCTTATCGTGATGGTAATGATTCGTAAATTTTTGGCATGGCTTCTTTTCGTTTCTCTCTGCCTCTCGTTCTCTCTCCCACTGGTTCATTGCTCCCGATAACTCCGGCAATTACACACCGAGTAGAGAGAGAGATACATTAAAATGTGTTGTGTGTTGTGGTGTTCCATGGACAGGGGAGGTTCGTTCTGTCATAGCCATAGCCTCATGATACCAGACCGTGAATGGGGTCATATTTCTCAACCGTATACGGTGCCAATTCCAGATAAGGCCCCAGTTGGTGGGGCGAACGGATGAATAAGCTACATTGCCGTCATCATCAAGTCTTTGCCCCTCATCTGCAGAATGTGTGGATGAGGGATCTGGTCTGGTATGGCTTCGAGATTTGAAAATCGTCAACTGCGTTTCCTTAAAAACAACTGGAAGATAACGCAGGTGAGGTTGAACTATGTGGTGTGTAACCCAACAGAAATATGAATTTTGTAGTATTAGCCTTGTGGTGTAATTGGCAATAGATCAGCGAATTGCGTAACGCACAAGTAATGCGAAAGTATTGAGGATTGTAGTAATGATTTGGTCAGGACTAGTGAAAAAGGAAAACAAAGACAACAACAACTCAGGCTGCAGTCTAATAGGAACTAGTTGATAAGATACTATTTAGTACTCGACACCTCTTGCACAATATTTGAAAGTTTTAGGAGGAACTGATTGAAAACTGCATGTGTAATACAATATTCTACCTACTCCCTTCTTTTGAATGTTCAGTTGTCAATCTTAATATGCTTTGAGAAACAGTTCGCTTGTAAAATCCACTTAAAATGATCATTCTTTTCAAAAGCGTGGAGGTTAACGGGCATATGTTTCTGAGATCTTTAAGTTAATTCAGCGATCTAGCACAACTCAGATTGTTATACTTATTGCAAGAAAGTAATCTCGATCACCCTAGCACGCGTCTTTAAGGTTCGTAATTTGTTAGGAAATGTTCCAAATGTAACCAACTACTAAGATAATGGGGGGCTTACAAAGATGGGTTGAACTACCTATCGAGTAAGGACACAGTGA